TCTCTCCCCTCTGCCTTCCAGCAGCGTGGCCGGCAGGCCCCCTCCTGCTCCTGCCTGCGGCTCCTGCGGCCTCTTGTGGAGAGCTCGCCCAGGTAAGGGGTCTGATTCGGGTGGGGAAGTGCTCACGCGATTTATGCTCCTCGTAGGTTGGATGGGGAAACGGGTTCTGAAAGATTCCGTCACGCAGTGCGTGGCTGACGCAGCTGAGCCCGGAACCTGGACCCGCCGGCTCAGTGGTCGGCAAACTCATGAGCCAACAGAGCCAAGTAACAACAGCACCACGGCTGGCATTTCTTTGGGAGAGCCAGATTTTTTAAACGCAAACGTCTTCTAGCACCACTTCTTCAACATAGACTCGCCCAGGCCACAGTGGTATTGGGTGCAAGAGCCACCACACTCACGGGGCCCAAAGAGCCGCACGTGGCTCGTGAGCCGTGGTTTGCCGACCACAGAGCCAGCTGATCTCAAAGTCCTGCAGGCCCGCCCAGCGAGGGCCTTCTCCCTCCCCACGGCTACCCTCTGCTGAGCTCAGGGCGGTGGCTCCTAGCGTGCCCTCCATCAGAGCCAGGGATGGGGTGAGCTCAGGCCAGAGCCCCCCAAGCTCTGTTCCGTTCCCTTCAACGAGGTGCTGGTGGTACATGCGAATGTATGGGGACTTGGGAGGTGGGTTCTGGTGTGAGCAGTTCCAATGAGACAGAATTGGCACTGAATCCATGGCAAAGAGAGTGTGACCCGTCCCTCATCGCATTCCTTGTCCCGGGAAGGGTGGGTTGGGAGTGGCACAGGGGTGCCAAATTCCCATCACAGGTGGGGACATGGAGGCAGGGTCAGGGAGGTGAGCGAGATCACAGATCTTAATTGCGATTGGTTCCTGTCAGCAGCCCCAGCCTCCGCTGCCGTGCCTGGCCTAGGCTGGCCCATAGGGTGTTTATGAAGGAAACTGTTAAATAAGTGAATTAAAAAAAAAATCGCTAAGCAAAGCATTTTGCTATTTATTGCCCGCTCTGAGCGATGGCCGTGATGAACGGCCGTGACTCATCCCTTCCTCATAAACATCCTATTAGTGTCCCCATTTTAGGGATGAGGAATGTGAGAGAGGTTCAGCGATGCCACCCCCGGCTACAGGGCAGCAGGTGGCGGAGCTGGGGTCCGAGACCAGGTGGGCTCCGGAAGCCACACTCGCAGCCACCTGCTCAGCCACGGAGAGGCTGGCCCAGTGGCACCGGGAATGCTCTGTACCTGTGCTGCCCGAGTGGGTCGCCACGAGCCACATGTGGCTGCGGAGCCCTGGAAACCTGGTTGATGAGACTGAGGGACCATTGCCTTCCCTCCGGGCAGCAGCGCAGCTCACCCCACATCTCGTGTTGGGCTCTGAGGTTCTGCATAATGAATGGTCTAATGAGGAGCCCGGAATCTAAAGAGACTCGTGGCTCAGAGGCCGGACTGCCGAGCAGCCTCATTAAGAAGGGAAGGGAAGGAAGGCCCGGAGGGAAGGCGCCATCGGGGAGGGTCTCAGCACCGGGCCCAACCTCAGGTCTGGTCCCCGCTACTAACCAAGGCCAGGCCTTCTGTCTCTGCTCTCTGGCCTCAATCTCTCTCCCTCTCTCCTTCCTGGAGCAGCAGTAGGAGTTCACGTTTCCCCCCTACAAGGAGAGAGAACCCCCACTCCTGGTCTGATCCTGAGCCCTGGGGACCCACAGCCCTGTGAGCTAGGTATAGACCCAAATGCAGCCCACCTCCACTTTTGGGCTTATCTGGCCGAGCCCGAGTCCCGGTCAGGCACTTGGCTGGGAGGCGGCGGGCCCTGCTGTCAGCTTGTGTGTGCAGGGAGCGCAGCCTCATTTTAATACTGGCTGGAGAGAAACCTCATTAGAAAAGTAAATTTGCTGGAGCTGCAAAAAAAAAAAAAAGGCAACCCACACAGCCCTTCCCGAGCTACAGAGGAAACCTTGACTTTGGATCCTTTGACGCTGTGTTCTCAGCGCTGCCCGCGACCCAGAAGGTGCTCAGCCCGTGTCTGTGGGAGGGAGCGGAATGTGTGATCTCCATCCGCCCTGACGGCCTTCGACAGAATAACGAGGGGCCCCGACCCGGGCTCCTGGCAAGTGGCACGGAGTTTTCATACGCGCGTCGGCTAATCAATTGGGATCACTGCACTCATCGCTAGCTAGACATGTGCCCACGGTTGCTGCTGTCCTTGGGCGACACGGAGAGGGTCCTGGTGACACAGGCAGGCCCCGGGGGGCCTTGGGAAGGCCCAGGGTCTGGGGGTGTGGCCAGCAGGTCAGGTGGGCAGGGTGACGGGAGGGATGGGAGAGCCTGAACTGAGGCGGATGGGATGACTTCCAGTGTTGGCGAGGGGATTGCTACTCCAAATTCTAGAGCCGTCCCGAGCTCGGAGGGACGGCGGAGAGACTATAAAAAAATACATGAAGTTATCATTCCTCCGGCTCACCTACCACAGCCTGAAGAGGAGGGTTCCCCAGTGTCCAGGCCTTTGGGAACCAGGACTCCGAGGCTCCGTTTCTCACTCAATCTGCTCACCCACTCTGGATGGAGCTGAGGCAGGGCCCTGGCCTGGCCGGGAGCCTACCCCCCTGCACCCCCATGCTCTTTAGCAGGGTCCCCGAAGCGCTTCCTCCCTGGAGGCCTTGTTGGGGTGGGGGGGGGCTGCATGAGGGAAGGTTTTCTTTTTCCTTCTCCCCAGTTGCTATGGCTTCCTCATCCCGCGGTGTCCCAGAACCAGGAGGAGTTGGGGGGGCAGGGCCAGGAGTTGGGAGCCCTTAGCAGTGAGCAGGAGCCTGGGAGAGAAGGTCTCCCGGTCTCACAGCACCGCCTCCCCCCCCCCCCCCCCCCCCGAGCCACAGAGAGAGCTTTCCTTAGGAGCCTTCTGCTCCACCCAGAGGTCTCACTGCCCGGGCCACTGATACTGGGGACCTGGGGAAGGAGGGCACGTAGGCTGGTACCCAGATGCAGCCCCGGGCCTCGCTCCCTGGCATTGCTTGCTCCGTGAGCGCTGTCCTCTCACGCGGGCTCCTCTGCCTGCCTCGGACTCTCAGACTCTCCCTCTCCCTCAGCCCTGCCTCTCGTCTCCCCCACTTCTCAGCAGAGGGGAGCCCTTGGGCATTTCCGTGCCAGCTCACCCTTCTTTTCCAGCCAGACTAAACCAGCCGTCTCCCCTGTCCCAGATCCATCCCCCTCCCTCCCCGTGGGCTGAGCCTTCTGCATTGCTCCCACCTGCAAAGCCCCAGCCTGCCTGCTCACCCCGAGCTCCAGGAGAGTGCAGCCACCTGGTCCTTCCACCCTCAAAACCCTCCCTCCTCCCAGGCATCTTTCCCCGGAGCCCTGGCCGCTGGTCCAGGCTCCAGGCTCATCACTGCAGCTGACCCTTGTGGTGGTTTTCCCTGCACCAGGCCATCCCGTGCCGGCTCACCCAGAAACCTATATGAACAGACCTGACCGGTACCTATGAGTCCAACATGCCTGAACGTGGAGTGAGTCCCAGGCCTCCCTCAGTCCGTACAGAACGGAGCCCAGCAGGCCACTTGGCTCCTAGCTGAATGAGGCACCATGCACGACCCCTCCCCTGTTCCCTCAGCCCTGGGAGGCCGCTTGCTCCCTCCACCACGGGTAGAGGGAAATGGCATGCAGCTCCAGGCCGCAGGGAGTGCCTGGCATGTGCAGGGCAGAGTGGGGCGGACTCTCTGGAGGTCTCATGGGGAAGGGTCTTCACATGAAGAAGTGGGGGACGAGAGGTGAGCCCAGGAAGGCTCAGGCTCACCACCGAGCAGGTTCTGGGGGGACCTGTCTCCAACTCTGTGGTGGCTTCAGGCAGATGCAGGGAGGCGGGAGGCCCCGCAGGCAAATCTCAGAAAAACTGTACAACAGCTGTCCTCTGAGGCCACTGGCCCCTCAAGCCCATGGACTTAGGAGGCTGCATGCCTCCCATTTACACACATACACAGACACACACACACACACACACACACACACTTCACAGAGCTATATGCCCTCGGACATCCCCTCCCAACCAATCCTTTTAAACAGTGTGTGCCACGGAGGGTCCCAGACAGAGCTGCTCCCACCAGCACGGGGCTGGCACTGGTCAGCAAAGGCCACCGTCAACTCCTGGGCATTAGAGGTGCCAGGGCCCCCAGCCCCAGCTGCTCTAAGAACCCATCGCACAGTGGGCGGCTGAGGGTAGGCCTGGACAGGCATGGAAAGGGGTGGAGAGTGCCAGTCAAGGCCTGTGTGCGCGCGCGCGCGTGTGTGTGTGTGTGTGTGTGTGTGTGTGGTGTGTGTGTGTGGTTCTTAACATCAGCTGCTTGGTACCGGGCTGTCACCCCCAGTCCTGGTCCCTGTCCCTATGAGATCCCGTTGCTTCCTTCTCCTTGGCTGCCATGCCTCTCGGATTCCCTTCGGAAGTTGCGTGCTCTGACTTTGGGGGAATCAGGACCTTGGGCCTGAGCCCAGGGACAGAGACGTGAACTTGGTCCTGCCTCCGGCCCCCTTGCTACGGTGAACGGCCCAAGGAGCCTTTGCCACCCTCGCCAGCCTTCGGCCCCTCTCCCATCGGGCAGAGCTGCAGAGCCCTTGGGGATGATGACCCAGGAGCAGGTGCAGCCAGGGGGTGGGGAGTGGGGGTGGCCCAGGCTCATCTGGGCCACCAGGAACCACCTGCTGAGGTGGGCAGGGACCGGGAGCTACAAGCTTGGGCCAGTTGTTAGTAGGTCCTGAGAGCCAGCTCTTCCCTAGATGCCGGTCCCAGCAGGGTGGGCACCGTGACTCCCCCAGGTTTGTTTGGGGGCTCCTGGGGGGCAGGCAGCGGATCCAGCCCTGGCCTCTCAGCCCCCCCAGCCCCCGTTCCACACACACACACACACACACACACACACACACACACACACGCAGGCGCGCGCGCGCCCGCGAGGACATGGCGTGGGTACCAATGGGGAGGCATAAAGGGGGGCTCTGTGCGAGGCCCGCGGGGGGTCACTGACCTGAGGCGGCGACGGCGAGTCTCGGTCCGAGTCGGATCGTTGTGTCCCCAGCGCCATTCATTCCCGATTCATTCCGGGCGGAGGCGGCGGCGGCCCCTGAACCCGGGCCCCCGCGGCGCCCCCAGGCTGCGGCTGCCGCTCCTCCGGGCCGCGCGCCCCGCCCTCCCCCGGGGACCTCGGGCTGCAGCCCCCGGGGGCCGCCTCATAGCCGCGGGGTCCGAGCCCGCCGGGCCCCGCTCCTCCGGGGCTCAGCGAGGCGGTGGATGGAGCCGCAAGCGATTGGGGGCCGCAGGGCGGGGGGGCGGGAGGGGAACGGGGAGGGGAGCGGGGAGGGGGCGCGGGGAGCCGGGATGCGCGGCGGCTGCCCAGCCAACCCGGCCGGCTCCGGGCTCCGAGTGCCCTCCGTGCGCGGCTGCGCCGGTGCCGTGGCTCTGACAGCGCCTCCCGCGCGCCCCGCCCCCCGTTTCCCCCCCATCCCTCCCTCCCCTCCCGCAACAGCGCAGGCTGCAGCCGGCGGGACCCGCTGATGGTCGGTACCAACCTCGCCAGCTCGGGCAGGGGGGGCGCAAGGAGGAGGAGGAGGCCGCGAGGACCCTCCTCCCGGGATTGGTATCACCCCCCTCCCCTCCTACCCCGACGGACACCCTGCCCAGCGGGGGCGGCTCCAGCTCGGGGCTCCGGAGCCGCCTGGGCTGCCGGCTGGGGAGGGGTGGGGGGCGAGCTGCAGCCCGGCCTCGGCTCTGGAGAGTTAACGCCGCTGCCTGCACCCCCATCCCACCCCGCCTCCATCCTGGCTGCTCCTGGGGCCCAGCTTGGCAGCCCTTCTCAAAGGGTGATTGTTTCCGGGCTGGGGAGTTGTGTGGGGAGCGGTTCTCTGGGACGGAGGAGGAGCTGAGATGCAGAGGAGCTGGGAGGGTGCGGCTGCCTCCTAGGCTCCAGGCACCCCGCAGGGGGAGATGGATGCAGGGGTCCCTGTGTGGGGTGGAGATGGGGAGTCGGGGGTCCACAGGCGCCGGCCTGTAGGGTAGCCCCCCACCTGTAGGCACCACTGCCATGCCGAACACATACCAACCCGTTGAGTGCCAGCCTCAGCCCACAGGAGCCTGGGAATTTCGAAGAGAAGGCAGGAAGGCAGGGAGGGCAGCGCGTGGGGTGGGAGGGAGCTGGGAGGGGACAGTGGGGGGCGGGGGAGGCAGAGATGGAGCACAGGGTCCGCAGGCTGTCCCCAGAATTTCTCCTCGGGGCACCTCGGGCAAATTCCATGCATGTTTCCTGCCTGTGTGTGCTGGGTGGGCTGGGGGTGCGTGGCCAGGGAGCCTGCCCGTGTGCACGCACATGCGTGTGCGTGTTTGTATGTGTGTGGGGTGCAGGTGGAGCCGTGGCATGTACCTATCTTGGAAGACACTTCCAAATGCTCTTTTTTCAAGTTGCCAGAGACTCGGAAGCCGCCTCGTGTATTTGCACATGTGGGCAGGCCCTCCTGGATGGACACATGTGGCCAGGGATGCCCCGTGTCCCTCTCCCAGCTGCAGAGAAGGTAGGCTCCGGTGCTGGGCCCCGGCCCCCGCTGCCTGGGGATGGAAGTGCTTTTCAGTAGCTGAAACCATCACACTAGGTCTGATGCTTCGGCCCAAGCTGGGCCCTGTTCTTCCCCGCGAGCAGGTGTGTGTGTGTGTGTGTGTGTGTGTGTGTGTGTGTGGTGGGTGAAGGGAGGGGCAGTGGCTTTAAACCTGCCATTTTGGTAAAGACCTTGAGGTAAGGTAAGGAAGGAGTCCCACTGATAGATGAAATAGAGAAGGTAGACCGGAGATTGGGATGGCAGGACACACACAGGCTTTATTGGAGGGAAGAGTACCCATGCTGGCTGCTTCCACAGAGAGAGGGGCGGAAGAGAGCGAGGGCCGGGGTACAAGCACCTTTAAGGATAGGGGACGGGGCTTAGGGCACTCAGCACATGCTGATTGGTGATTAGGAACCGAGGGACTTAGGAATCGGGGGCTTAGGGTATTTGGCAGGTGCTGATTGGCGGTTCAATGCCCAGGTATGTCTGGCCACAGGTTGGGTTTATGTCTGTCCATCAACTGGAGGAAGGGAGGATCGATCACCCACCATCCACACCTTCCCACAAACCTCTGGCCATACGATGAGTAATGACTGCTTCTGGGGACAGCTGTCCTTCCCTCTCACCCCTCTGGCGGTTCCTGGCTGCTGAACAGCCCTCATTGCCCACGTGAGGAAAATTCTTCCAAATCTGAGCCCCGTGCCTCCCGCTGAGGTGCCAGACCATTCCTCCCCTCTCGCATTGAGGCGTTTCCCCATCCCTCTACCAGGATGATGCTTGTTCCTTTAGACTCTGCTCGGAGAGCCTGTCCTGGGACCACGTTATCCTTGCCTCCAAACTCCCCTCCCCACCAGGACTGCACACCGCCTGGAGAGAGGGAGGGAGGACAAGGGGAGGTACAGGAGGGGAGAGGGCGGGGGACCCAGCTCAGAGGGAGGACCTGGCTGCCAGTTTGCATGGAGCACAGAGGGCCTCTCTCTTTCCTGCTGCGTCCAGTCCTGGTCAAAAGACATGGCCTTGGAGAGTTTCTAGTTGCATCTAAAAAGAGTTTCTCCTTTTACAAACAGGGAAACCATGGCCCTCAGAGGGACCACCAGCAGTGTGTGTGTGGGGGGAATGAGAGAGTGGGGGGGCTCGCCCCATGTCTCTCTGAGGGCACAGCCCCAGGTGCAGCTCAGGGAGGAAGCCTGGGCTCCAGGTGGATTCTGAGGGCGCCGCAGTGAAACCAGCGGTGGGACCCAACAGTCCGATCCTATCTGGCCAGGACAGGCCGTGGCCAGCTGGTCCCTCTGCAGGGGTTCTTGGGGGGGGGGGGGGTCTCTCCCTGCAGCCGATGGGAGCGCCCCCAAGTGGAACAGGGAGGGTGACTAAACAACAGTGCTAACAACACCCCCTCCTGGGATCAGGCTTGCAATTTAGCCCCAGAACTGTTTACACCATTTTTTTTAATGTTAATTTTTAGAGCCAACTTAATGCAGTAATGTGGGATTAGCATGAACATGATAAGGCTCAGTGAGGAGACAACAGCTGCCATCAGTTTTGGTGGGAAGTGCTGGCAACACCCCAAGCATGTGAACACACGCACATCCACAGACTGTATGAAGCCACAAAGCATGCGCCCAGAGGCAGGCATACACGCAACGCACACAGTTACACCCTCCTGGGCCTGATGTGTACATACGCGTGCACGTGGGTGTGCCTGCGCCCACCTGCACACAGACAGAGACGCATGTACATACACACACACACACACACACACACACACACAAACACACACACACATACATACAGCAGCCTCCACAGGTGGTGGCCATTACTACCACCTTCCCACTCCTTTTCTTTGTCTCCCTGTTGGTCATGCAGGCCCATGGGCATCCTTTACACTCTGCTAGGAGAACCTGTCCTGATTGAGTGCATCTCACAGCTTAGCCCCTGCTCCGAACATCTGGAATAGCCCCGGGTTTCCCAGTGACTGAACCTCCCCTCATCTTTCTTCTGCCAGAATTGAGCCCCTCTCCTCAGAGGCCCCCCAAAGCCCCGGGCCACAATGTTTAGCATCCAAAGGATCCCCTCTCTGGGACAAGCTGATGTGTGTTTATTGTGCCGTTAACTGGCGCAGAGCCCTGCCCCCGCTCGGGTCCTGGACCAGTTCCTGCCCTCTGATTCCCAGAAGGGTCTCGTAAAACAGTCCTCTGCAATGCAAAGCCCACAGCACACCTGGGAGGGTCTGTAGGCTTTCCCCCAATCACCCGGGCCCTCACTCCCTAGGAAGAACCGTTAGTTTACTCTGATCCGTTCATCGCTCACCTGTGGGCCGCCTGGGACTCTGGCTTGTCAGCAGCAGCTTGGGTCTGCTTCTGATTCGCAAGGATGCTTCCTTTCCTGACCAGCCTTCCTCCTCAGCGCATCCCCAGGAGGTGACCCGGGCACAGCCGAGCTGCTCCCTGCCCCTCTGGGCCCCGGCGCCTGTTGTAACTAATCGTTGGGCTTGCATTTCTAGGGAGCTGCCCCCTGGAAGGCACAGCGGTGCTTGTGCTGATGGGAGTGAGTGTACAGGTTCAGGAAGACTCCCCTCCACACACACAGCATGCCGGCTCCCTCTCACTGGAGAGTGGCGGGAGTGCGAAGAAGGCAGACAGCAGGGCGCCTCCCCCAGGGCCCAGCCTGGCAGCCTGGAGGCTCACAGCATATTCCCCCACGGGGCTCTCACTGTGTGTGGTGGCCCCTTGGTCAGGAGGTCTCTGGTCAGAGCGTCGGATCTCAAACATCCTTGTTTCTCCACCACAGATTGGAAATGGCCCTTTGATTGCCAGGACCCTCAGCTCCCCTCCATCTCCCCCTGGCCTCCCTCCGTCCCTCTTGGGTGGGGGCCAGGCTTCTTCCTGAGCTGCAGCCAGAAGGCTCACCGCCTTCTCCAATCTCTGCATCCGGGAAGGGCTCAGCTGCACTGCTTTACACCCCGCGAGGCCCAGGATTTCTGTTTGGCTTTGTTTTCCTGTGGCAGAGAGAAGCAAGAGAAGAGCAGTGCCTGGTGAGTTGGGGGAGCATCTGTCTGAGGCAAGCTTGGAACTCTTCTCTGCCCTCCGAGGGGAGTGAAAACAACCCAGATTGTCTGTGACCTACCCAACGACTCCCTCATACTTCCCAGAACCCATTCCCCCACATCCCTCCAGAGCCCCTTACAATCTGGGCCAGGGTTGGCCTCAGAGCAAATCCTGGGGTCTCCCTCAGTCCCTGCTGGACTCTACTCTGGCCCTGCTGTCCTCCTCCTGTGGCCTCTCCTAGTCCCTGGCATCTGGGGCAGGGCATTGATCTTCTTCGAAGTCCCATCACACCGTCTCTGGGTTTCTCCACAGGCAAATCACCACGGGCACCTGCTTTATTCCCTAATATCATGTGGCTGCCATCCACTCCTGTCCTAGGAGCTCCTGTAATGTGCCAGGCACTGGGCTGGGCAT